TCGGAACTCTCAACTCACGTCGGAACTCCCGACCCTCAAGGCTTTGGAAAACTAGCCGTTGGCCTCTAGTCGTGCATACCGGACATGTCCGGTATGACCAGGACAGTGAGCCCTCCAAGACAGTTAAAGTGCGAGACATCGGAACTCCCGACCCTTGCCGGAACTCCCGACCTAAGTCGGAACTCCCGACGAACCAACCCGAGAACAACAATTTTACAACTGCTGGGTAAATACCGGACACGTCCGGTATGCATACCGAACACGTCCGGTATAGCCAGACCAGCAAAAATAAAGTTAGCCCTTTTGTCGCTCAAATACTCAAAACTCACTTGGGTTGGCTTGAGCACTTATGAAACATTATCTATCAACATGATGCATCCCTCTTAATAGTACGGCATTCGTATTTACTCAAATTTAAAAGTATAACGGATTTAAACCTTTTGAGTTGCTCTTGTTTTTTAACCGAAGCCGTGTATTCCAATCTTCATCAAGTGAGGGCGCCAACATGTTGATATTGATCTTTTTCACTAGAGCATAGCCATTTTGAGCACGTGACTTGATTCCATTCATCATATTTGAATAATCCCAAATGTATCAAGTCACTTCCTTCAAACACTCCAATAGTGATTTGATCCTTTACATAAACATGGCCATCATAGCTTGATTAGTACCTCAACTAAATGCAAGTACTTTCTTCTTCACCCTAGCTAGGTTCTTCGGCTGCCAAGCCGTTGCTTGCCCTTCACCCTTGCTTAGTACCTCGAAGCCTTTCCTTGCTATCTTCACCATCTCAGGCCATCAAGTCACATCTTGTGTTGAATCATTCATTCATGTATTGTTATCTTTTTCATTTTAATTTTAGCAAGCTTCAAATATGAGACCATTCCATATGCAAACCCTTATGTCTCATTAATTAATTCTCACAAGCTTGCTTTTACATAGTACATGGAAATCCCACAATAAACAAGCCTTTGCATGAATTCCATTTGCATTGTTGTCTTGTGCTTGAACTAAATTGTTTATACAACAACACATCATTTTGGCTTTCATTAAGTACCTGTGAGATAACCTATCACATGTCCACACTTAGCAAACGGGTTAGACCTTTAATCACGTTGTTATTCAATCATCCAAAACCCACTAAAGGGCTAGATGCACTTTCAATAGCCATATCAACATATGCAACATCCAGATATACTTTTCCAACATCCATATGAAACACTTGCGCTTGAAACATGCATATTATGCCACATCCAGATATACTTCTGCAACATCCAAATGAAGCACTTGAAACATACGTCTGAAAACAACTGAAACACTTGAAACATAGGCTTGCAACATGCATATATATTGTCATTGCAACATATGCAACATCTCAGGATCTACTTTTGCAACATCTAGATGAAACACTTAAAACATGAGTCTAAAACGCATGAAACACTTGAAACACAGCGTCGTCGGCCTACCTGTGGGCAACTGCGTAGCCAGCAAGCTCGCGGTCCCCCCTTCCCCTAGCCTTCGCCGCCCCCAAAGCTCCTCTCCTCCTCCTCCTCCTCCTCCTCTTTCTCGTACAAGGGCGAGTACCGCGTGATCGCCACGAGCCTCGGCGGCGGCGGCCGCGCCCACGGCCTGGTCGGGAACCGCACCGGCGAGGAGGGCCTGGGGCATGGAAGGCAGCACTGGGTCAGAGAGACATGCAGGAGACCGTCGGCGTGAGGGCGAAGCCTGTGGCAACGCCAACCATGGCTGGCGATGGTCGGGCACGGCGGCAGGTCTTATTTGCTTCGAAAGGAACGAGTGGAGTGGAGGGGATGACTATCGGTGGGGAGTGGGAGAGATAGGCGTTGTTGGGCTGATAGCGCGCAGACCTAGAAAATGTGGCGTCCGAACGGACGGACGCTCTGAGGAGAGCATTACCGTTGTTTAAATCATCCCATTTGAGCCACCCCATTTGTATCATTAGTAAGGTCGTAACGGTATAGGTGGGTAATTTGGATGGATATTTAAGGGGATCACTTTGTATGACACAAAGGTTTGATTTTCCGTTTCCATAACTCCTCTTTTATTATGATAATTTTTCCACGACTCCTGTTACGTGTGCATCTCAATTAGATTTCTGAGCACACGACCGAACATCCTATGGTCATGTTCGCTTCTCTTATAATTCTATTTTTTAGCTTGTTTTTTTAGCCGGAACAGTGTTTTTCTCTCACAATAAATCAGTCGGAAACAGTGTTTCGGTTTGTTTTTTCAGCGAAGCGGATGGAACAAACATTTTTGAACCAATTATTTGCAGATCTGCTTCGACTGTGTGCCTGTCATCGCTGACTCGCACATAAGAAATTTCAGATTAGGACCTTAAGATTCGAGGTGACTTTCAGCTAAACGACACATCTAGTGTGCCGTTACTTTTTTTAACAAAACTATGACGGGATGCTATTACTGTTTCCTATGCATAGATCGAGCTTGTGGGAACACGGACGAAGCTGCACTGCACTGCACCTCGGCTTCAAGAGAAAGCACGTAGTCAACCAGTGCGCCGCGTGAGACTTGTGCATTTGCAAAAACAGTAACACACAAAAAAAAAGAAGCATTCACTGCTATTACTAAAAGGTCTTGTAATGACTGTTCTAAAGGTCTTGTTAATTAAAACCGTGCTTGGAGTTTTCAGATGGAGAAACATGGAACGAGCATTTCTCCGACTATGCCTGTTCTCCTTGTCTAGTGTCAACTTGTTTTAGCTTATTTTAGCTTATTCTCTCTCACAGAACACTATTAAATCAGCCGAAATCAGCAGGAATCAGCACTGTTCTAGATCAGCCGACCACTTTCGAGATAAGTTTGTTGTCATTTTTTTAGACAATGGGATAAGTTTGTTGTCATGAACCGCAAGCTCGACTATGAACAGACTGCAAACTAGATGGATGTAGGACGGTTGGACTATGCCTTCGCCGAGCCAAAGCATTCCATGGTCACACCTGCAAAACTGTTTGTTTGTTTGATGGAGCACTGAACATTCAGTTGCCCTCACGAAGCTCAGAATACCAGTATATATGCTCTGGAGTCTTTACTGAATCAAAAAGTTCAGAAACACGGGATACTATGAACGGAACTAGCTGCAAGAACTAGTGTTGTCAAACAAACTACACCGGCGTTGCATCTGGGCATGCAGCCTTACCAACCATGCTGGCTGGTGTTCTTCTTCAGCTTGTATCGGAGTTCCATGAGCAATTATGTAGAAGCAAAGAAGATCTTGCTTCCGAGTAGCTCAGAGCAATCCGGTAATTCAGAGTTCGACATCACTTGTCCGCCACTCACCAAGATCCGTCTGCCTCTCCTCTCCGCTGCCGGCGACTGACCGGTGACCGCAGGTACGGCCGCTCCCTTATCGTGAATCCTCTTCCCCCATCGCGACTCCTTGCCCGTGGGCTCGTCCACCTCTCTCCTCCCAGCTCTCCTCCCCCGTCCCCCACGGCCCGCTGCTTCACCTCCACGCGCCCCCTCGCTAAACCCAACCCTAGCTTGGCCGGCCTAACTGCCCCGGCGCCACCACCGCGCCGCCGCCGCTGCTGCCACCCTAGTCTTGATTTCCCTGCCCTGAATAACAGGATTCCCAACTCAGCCCGGTCAAGAAGATTATTATATATGTTACCGCCCGCCGTTGATTGAGCTTTTTGCTTGTTTGTTTTGTCGAGAGGATTCCTGGTGGAGGCTGACTCATATACCTGAAATAATGAATGACCCCGGTTTGCTGTAAATCATTTTACCGGTAATGTTTTGTATATGACAGGCATTTGGTCATTAGTTATCATTCATGGTTGTGTATTTTGCGGTTAATCCTGAGATGCAGGCCTGTGGCTTGTATTGGTAGGATCTGTTTGGTGCTGCACATTGGACAGACCTGCATTACTCTGTCCTAATGTAAAGCAGTAGGTGATTGCTAATTCAATCAGCTGAAGCCTCAAGTGCCTCTTTTTTGTCTGCATTTCGCACACCAATTTATAGGTGCTATAGTCAGCTTGCTACAGCTGTGCTTCTTGAGGCCATGAACCATAGCAATATTACTAGCACCATTTAATATGGCTGTACATGCCTGTAAGCCTGTTAATATTTTCCGGATCTCTTTTTCACACATCTGTGTTGCTGTGAATTTTGGTACTTCAGTTGTGTTCTTCTGTCATACTGTTTTTTACAGTTATTATTGTACTTTTCATTTTCATGCTAAATCAATTGACCATGGTATAGCTCCTAAGTTACAAAGACACAGCTAACTTCAAATTTACTTACTGGGCAGCACGATGAAGAATGAACTCTTTTAGTTGCATTTAGTTGCACTAGTTGTGGGAGTACTGGTCTTATTTAGATTGCTGTCTTGTTGTATTTAGCAACCTTAAGCACCAATCTGAGCAATTCATTTAACTCATCTGTACTGTATTCATTCCTGAGTTTTGCTGTGGAAAGCTCCACTTTACATTCATCTGAAATACGGGCGTTACCATTTGTGGCCACCTGGATACTAGGCAAAGTTATCTGGATCCTTCAAAGGGATGGGCCAGTTTGTCCCCTGTTCCCGGATGGAATAAATAAATACTGGTACCACCTACAAATGCATGGGCATAACATTTTCTTACTTTAAAATTTTGACAGATTTCCCTTTGTTACCTGATATAAGTGCAATTATTCACTGATTGGAAAACAGAAAAATGCAACGCGTTACTTCAGTCATGCATTAAATTAGTTATTTTGCGCAGCTGGAAACTGGTAGCTTTATTTTAAACTTCGGAACCAATTCCATTCCTCCCAGCGATGGGAAAAAGAAAACATAGGAGCTTTTCATTCATTTGTTCTCTTGTTATTAGTTCTCTTGTTATTATTTCTCCTGTGATCCTGTCATTACTATCTTGTACATGTATAGTTTCAGACTGGTTAGCTTTCCCAGCTCAGTACTCAGTATCTCTTTTCATTTTCGATATTTGAAACCTTATCAGACTAGATCTGTGATGGCTTTCCTTGTCGCTGTACAGGGTCATCTGCACACCTATAGGGTCTGCGACGATGTCTGGACCTTCATTCTAACAGATGCAGCCTTCAAGAGCGCTGATATTCAAGAAACACTGAGCAAGGTGAATTTGTCCCCTCTGAGCTTTGTTTGTGTGAATCTAAGCAATCGGCCATGGCAATTGACTAGATTGCCATGGCTGCCAACATGTTATCTGTACTGAATATGGAATGTGGTTTTGCTCTTTTTCTGTTGAAAATTTCACATGAATGACTAGATGAAGCGTTGAATTTGACATGAATTCTTCGTGCCTTACATAATCGTGCTTTGGTTTAGGTGACAGACCAAACAAGAAGTAAATATTGTGGATAGATGTGTAAACTTCTTGTTCCATGCTCTGCTACTTTGACACAGATGGATCTCAACGCCATGGTGGCCGCCTGCTACGCCCTTCCAGTACTCGTCTCTGTGCTCACAGTCCGCTTCTTCTACGTGCTGTGGCACAGTGACCAACCAGCATCAAGGCCACGCACCACCGGATTGCGTTGTCTCATCGTCCTTGGCTCCGGTGAGTACGTATTGTAGCCTTGTCTTGCCTGTCAAATACCTTATGGACAAGTTTTAAATATGGTTGCCTGGTATATAAAACAGTACTCAAAGGTGTAAGCGCATACATGAGTACCAACATGTGGCAATACTGAATAATTGTTGGTAACTGCAACTTCATATGCTAGTTGATCTTCTATGGTACTGAAAGCACAACTCTTGGTCTCTGCATATGGGAATTGGCTTTTCACTGACTTGATCATGGTAGACTGTCACAAAGAGATCGTGGGACAAAATCTTGTTTCGTCCAGAAACATTATTGCTCCCAGGCAACCGTAACATTTGTGCCGCAGCAGTTCTGCTTTCTAGAGGGCATTGTCACAAACTCACAATTTATACAAACTTGGTGCATGTTTAAATTTAAACTTGGTTCCTATATTCATTGCCATGTGTAAAGTTCATAAGGCAGATCAAACTAAAGATGTGTCAACTAAGATAGCTTATATATGATGTTTAGTTACAGCACAAGGAATCATCATGCTCCTTGTGCAACTCTGATGACCCTGAACTGAGTTAGTAGTTCCCTTTTTGTAGCCTCTGCTAGACATTTTTCAGCTCCGGTATCTATTCTAAGAAGGGCGCATTTTTTTAATAATCTTTTTGTGCTTTGGTTGACTTTCTTCAGTTTATTCTGCTCATTTGCAAATGCTATCTTAGTTCTCCTTAGTTGCCAATTTGCTAGTATCACAGTATCTTGTCTTAGTTGCATATTCATTCTCGCCCTATTTAGCATGTATTGGCTTGTTTAATGGCAGTACTGAAACTGTCAGGATCTTATTATTTTACAGTATACAATTACAAAACACACTTGTATCTCTTAGTAATAGGTATATTTATGCTTTAGTTTTCTCTTGGATTTTTTTCCCCATTGAGAAATTATATTCTATTTTAACACATTGGATCACTATCAAATAGCATATCACTAGTATTTATAATATTTTACTGGACTCCTGTGCACACTCTTGCCAGAACATTTGGTAGTTTTTCTTTGAGTTAGCAAGTGTCTAAGGTGTAAGATATGTAGCTTGATGAAACATGCATTATTTTGTGTTCTGGTTGTTAGGAGGGCATACTGCAGAAATGATGAATATTGTAACAACACTTCAGAAGGATAGGTTCACACCAAGATACTATGTGGCTGCACTTACTGACAACATGAGTCTTCAAAAGGCACAGGTCTATGAGCAATCACTTATTCAGGTGGAGGTCAATTATTATGTTCCATGGAACCAATGATTATGTTAGGAACTTGCTAGGCTATTTAAAATATGGAATATGATTATATTTAGTGCCTTTTCAGAGCGATGGAATGAAGACTGCCGAGAACGCTCATTTCATGCAGATATATCGTAGTCGTGAAGTAGGCCAGTCTTATATTACATCCATCGCAACAACATTGCTAGCCACATTGCATGCTATGTGGCTAGTAATAAGAATCAGACCACAAGTGGTGTGTACCTAGTTCAAGCTATGGTAGCTATTTGCAGCATGAGTTCAAATACTAATGTTTTGTGATATTCCTCCAGATATTTTGCAATGGTCCAGGGACATGCTTTCCTCTATGCATCTCAGCTTTCCTTCTGAAGGTAGCCCTCACAGCCTAGCTTCAGTTATTAAAGAAAAAACAGCCTACATCTATGCTTGCTTACTTGATGCAGTATGAAACTTGTGCCATTGATCTTGGAGGATAAATGGATATTGCGATTGCTAATTTCCTCATCCCAAATTTCATGTTGATGCCAATTTTTCTACCAGTACCTAACTAGTTTAGGATTGCTGTCTTTCTGTAGGTGCTTGGTTTGGGATGGTCCTCCATTTTCTACATTGAAAGCATTGCAAGAGTGAAGAAGCTGTCATTGAGTGGTTTGCTGCTGTACAAGCTACGGATAGCTGACCAGTTCTTTGTGCAGTGGCCCCAGCTGCAGCATGAGTATCCCCGAGCATGCTACGCTGGTCATTTGATGTAAAGACTTGACCATATCTGACGTTGGGATACAGTATTTTCCAACTCAGAGATTCAGAATACGATGACAATCTATGTACACTTTGACAAATACAATTGTCGTTGCCTTAAAAGAAAAGGCTTTACACTCACATTTCATATATGCGGGCATGAAATGCAAGTTACCTAAAGATAAGTCTTTCTGAATGTAAGAGAATCAGAGTGGACTTATCAAGTTATTGCAGAATGTAAAACTTATTTTTTATGTTTCCAGATAGATTATCTGTTTATAATTGTGCCTGGCATTTGATGATTCTAGTCAGCAATTTGGATTTTGCTGACTATTATTTTCTTGACTCCTAACAGTTTGTTTCTCCAGACCATTTTTAGGGGAATGCATTCCAAACCTTGCATGGGGTAAAAGTGAGATTGTAAGTATCAGATACATCTCGGCCTAGGCTAGTTCCTACAGATTTGGTCAGGTCGTCGCCCTTGAGGGCTAATCGTGTCGTACTTTGGCCTCAAAAGGCTGTGAAATCTTTAATTGGTTTATTTTTTGAGCTGCTTTTAATGTGTGCATGATTTTGTTTTAACTGAGAAATGGCAGGAGATCTACCTTGTAGGAGTATATTAGAGAAAGGAGAAGCAAAACAGTACAACAGAAAGTTCAGCCCTGCGACTGCACAGCCAGAGAGGAAGCAGACAAATTGCTTGGAGGGTAGCACCAAACACAAGTAGAGAACAAAACATCCTAAGACAAAAAGGACATTTCACTACTGAAACCTGTAAACACGCCATGATTGGTCAATATCTTCCTTTGCTCGTAGGGCCATGGCCAAAGCTGAAAAGTCAGCGATTCCTTTTTTCCCCACAAATTCCACGTAACATAATTGGCTACACCGTTGAAAGCGCTTCTTTGCTCCTTTGTACTACCTTTGCCGCAACCTCCCACCAATCCGCAATGGAGGCAGCATTGGTGGCCTGGATGTGAAGAAGCAAGATGAGGACAAGCTTAGCATGTGTGGCTAGCACAAGGATTGGAGGATCAAGGGTCAATGCTAGGCCACAATGTATGAAGAATGAAGATATCCCCAATGGTTGATGACAAAGACGATCAAGAACTCAAGGATGAAGTAGGAGATCCATGAAGGAGTCAAGTGCGGCATGGTAGGACTCAAGAATTGAAGACTTTTCAAGAGTTAGGATAAAAAAAATACATGGGAGTCAAGTGTGCTAAAGCTTGTCCTAATGTTCAAGTGTGAATGGTGGTGCAATATTGGTGAACATTTGGTCCAAAGAGCTTAGGCTTAATGCAAGGAGCCCAACGAAACAAGTCTCGCTTCAATTGGAATTCATGAGAATAAGTTAGAGGCAAGAATAGTTGATGATGCAATCACAAGATTGCCCGGTGGTAAGATAAATGCACCCACGTACTGTGGAGTCCGGCCAGTGAAGTCAGTGGAAGACACTACCACTGGATAATTAGAGGACATTCAACAGAGGATAGGGTTTGGTGGCCCTAAGAAAATGAATGTATAGGACGGTTGAAGAGACTGTGACGTCTAATAGGGATGAATTAGGCTTCTTAAAACTAATTGGCCAACTAAAACCAACTTATCAAAACCTATATCTGCATGATTCTATCCAAATGTGCACTATGTTTTTGCTAAGTGTTTCTATCTCTAATGCAAAATAGCTTTGCACTCTAGGTTCCAATTCTATCGACTAACCTAACAAGTTAGACTAAGAAAGATAAACACGCAACCTAAGGAATGCAAATAAGTGTGGAAATGTAAATTTGTTCGAACCCCTCTCAAGGATGCCCTCGCAAAGGCCAAGCTTCTAGTGCGGTAACTCCATGGAGAACCAACGAGCCTTCTCCACGCGCAAGGAAGCGGGCGAGAGGGAGAGGAAGCACAGGCACCAAGTGGTGCACGATCTTGTGATCGTTCCTTCTTCTATGGGCTCAGGGGTGAGCCTTGCTATTTCATCTTTTGTCTGTTGTTCGGGCTTCTGTAGTGTGGTCTCACGAGCGAGAGCTGCAAGAAAGTGGACATAGGGAAAGGTGAACATTATGGACGCTAGATCCTCAAAATTTAGTGTGGTGATCCAACGCGTTGTGAAATGCAGATGGTGTGGCTCAATATGGCTGCAGCTTTTATACAATGTATAGGATATAGGATTGTAGTAAAATGGACTCGTGTATGATGATATAAAAATAATTTAGAAGATAGCTTCTTTTATTAACAAAGGTGGTAAAAGTTAAAAATCTCTCTATCTCCAAAAATACCTTGCAATTTTTAGAGGTAGACGGCTCATTTATCGAGACAAAAAATATATTAATAGAGGCAGTCCTTTTAAGATGTCCTCCTCTAAAATAGTGTATTCTCATAGGTGGATATCTTAAAAGATCTCGCCTCAGAAATAGGCCCGATGCCTAGGCACCACCCAACACTATGGGCACATATACATACAAGCACTTAGGGTTTAGGTTTCATCGCTTCTCTCTTTCTCCTCATCAGCCACCTCTTCTCTCTCTCTCTGTCTCTAGCGAAGGGTGTAGTGGCGGCAGTAGCCTTGGCCAAGGGTATGCCCAAGGGCACCGCCGAGAGCACTAAAGAGGGCGTGGCCAATGACACAACATCCTGTGTGGCAACAAGACTAGCCCCACACCCCTTCTAGATCTAACAACGGCACACAAGCTCGATAAGGTAGAGCGCACACCTCTCCTTTTCTCTCCTCCCCCCCCCCTCATTCTCTCTATTCCGGATTTGTTGGCAAGGGGAGGCAGGGAGTGGGCTAGATGGTGGTGGAACCGGTGGTCGAGGTGCGAGTAGGCTCAATGGTGATGGTAGGGCACAAGAAGGGGTGAGGCTTGGCGGATTGGTGGTTGAGGAAACGGCAAGCTATGACAATATCCATGAGCGGGCTTCATGGGCCTCCGGTGAGCTCGATAGGCCCTTACAATAGGCTCACCACGCTTTGTTGGCTAGCTGTTCTTTTTTTGGATTTACCGAGGCTGCCTTTGTTATTCTGACTAACAATGAGTTCAGGATGCAGAGAGAGCCACCATCTGACTATGTTGATCCATATTGGTTATGTCTAAATATATTTTGTCCTAGTGCTAGAATAACCATTGAGTTAAGTAAAATATATAAACATGTAATCACAAATTAGAATTCACAAGAGATTTATTTATATTTAATAATAATCCTATATCCAGCCGCTTGAAAGAGAGAGGTAGACTGGTAGACCTGTATTATTGGTAGTTCATTTTATTTGGACTTTTAGAACCCAGCAGTCATGTCTAATTAAACGAAGAAATTGATTAAACACAAGCCTGCACGACGACATAGCTACTAGTTGACGATGATATCTATGACATAACCAATGTAGGGTCAACAACAACAAGCAATCGAAATCTGCTAACAGCAGTAGTACTAGCACGGGTATGGGCGGTCGATGACACGCGATTAAATGGAGGGCATGTCAGACTTCTTTTCTTTCGTTTAACAGTCAGTTCCTAACTGTGGAGAGTAGCACTAGATGACATGATGTACACTAGTAATTGGCTACGAGTACTAGCTAGGCTTTTTTATGGGACTTTTCGTCCGCACGCAACACACTCCTGCGGTCATGCCATACGCCAGTGACGAAGCCAGGAAAAAATTTAGGAGGGGCTGAAACAAAAGAATAGATGATTTTTTATCTTTTCTTAATCTTAGTTCCTCCTACCTAATACATATATGCATAAAATTTTAGATAAGGGCTTAAGGAGGCTCCACGTGCGCAGGATGGGTAGGGGGGGCTAGAGCCCCCCTAGCCCCACCGCTGGCTTCGTGCCATACCCCTCTGGCCCTCTAGCGCATCAGCCCTTTTCTCTCCCATCGATCGGTCCGCCTCAGTCGATGCACACAGGCATTCACAACCTAAGATGACGAGTCGACTGCTCACTGATATTTTTTATAGAAGTTTGATTCTGAAATCAGAATTGGACGTGCTAGCGTTACATAAATTACATGTTAACGTGTTTATCGGAGTTAGTACATGTTAATAACCGGTGAGAAAGAGCTAGGAGTTAAAGATCAAATACTCCCTTCGTCCATAAAAAATATAATTCTCGCTTTTTGGGAAGTCAAATAATTTGAAGTTGAAATGATGTATTATCGTAGTAAATTTTTAAAGACATAAATATTAATACTATTTATTAGGCCAGTCTCTATGGATGTTTCATTAGAGTTTCATGGGCATTAAATATGCTGATGTGGCACCGTATTGATGAAGAGAGAGTTTCATGGGATGAAACTCTTCTGCACTGTTTTCAAAATATATATGTGTTGAAAACTGGGTCATGAAACCCCCACCGAGACTGGTCTTGTAAACTCCATCAAAGTTTAGACTAGTTTGATCTACACGTAACTTATAGTTGTATTCTTTTATAGACGGAGGGGGTAGTTGTTATATATTGCACTCAATTTCTGTCATCAATTTCCGGGTCCTAGTGGTAGGTCCTTTAGTGGTCAAGATATGATGCACAAAATTAAAGTATGTCTAGAGGCATGCTATGTGCTCACTAGGGCCATAGTGAGCCAGACCTCTCCTCATTTTTGCAATTCTATAAAGGATGCTATCGTATCTTAGTATATTTTGCTAATGAAGATTTAAATTGGCCACTCTTACACTCCCTAAACCATGTACATTCCAGTTTGGCTCCTTCTAAATTTAACCTCAAGCTCCGCCACTCTGTTCGATTCAAAATGAATGTCATTTTGAATGATAATGTACATGCTTTGTTCTGTATGTGGCAACACTTTCACTAATGGTTTATTTGAAAGAATATGAATTTCTAATAAGAATTATGAAAACGACATATATTTTGGACTAGCTTCGTTCAAATATACAGCTTAATTAGTCGTGTTTGACTTTGTACGGTTTTTTATGGGTATCTTTGACTATTGATTTCTTCTAAAATACACCCTCCATGCTAGAACATAAGCATATTTTGTACAGAAAAAATACAACTTT